CAGGAATAGACACAGAAATCTAAAGATATCAACAGTTCCTCCACTTTCTAGGTTTTGGGTTTGTTTTTTTTTAAGTGAGAATACATTCCTCAAAAAAATAAAAGTCACTCTTGGCAGGAAGCTAAGAATCAGAGCACCAAGAATATTTTGTAATAAGGAGGGATCAGTCCTATCACACTGTTTGCAGATGACCTTTTTCATCCACTGGTCATGCACATATCCAACCAGGCAGCCTGGCCTGTTCTACACCTGCCTTCACAGTGTCCAAACGCCCTCTGTGATTTCAGGCAGAAACTGCCTGGCTGCTGCACAAAGCAGATCTTCAGAAATACCTGTTTGAGTTCCTTCTGTGATTCTTCAACTTTTATCTTCCATTTGCTTTCTTCCTCTTCCACGCTCCTCTGTAGCCTTTGTAAAATCCCCTCCTAAGAAGAGAGCGGGGTTTGAAAGCTTACAGGAGAAGAAAGGCAGCTTGCAAGGCACATCTCCAGGCAGAGGGAGCGGGCACCCTGCTTACCGTCTCTGCCAGGACCGACTTGTACTTCTCACACTCCAGCTGCAGCAGGACGTGCATCTCCTCAGCCTCCTTCAGCTTCTGCTCCATGGCCTGGAAAGGGAGGAGGGACCAGGAGAGTCACGTCTCAGCTGATGGATTCAAGTTCCATTATTTATCTCAGTTCAGCAAGCCAACTGGTTAATATTCACATTGGCAGGTCTGTCTTCCTAACTCATGCGAAGACAACAGCGAGTGCAGCGTTCACCCACAGCTCCCAACATTCCATCTCAAAGTTTGCATGAGTTACCATACTAATTCTCAGTCACTTGAAAAAAAAAAAAAAAAAGGCAATTACTCGAAAAATTACTTCAGGGTTTGCTGAGCCTGGAGCAAAGGAGGCTCAGGGGAGACCTTCTGGCTCTCCACAGCTCCTGACAGGAGCCTGGAGCCAGGTGGGGGTCGGGCTCTGCTCCCAAGGAACAAGCGACAGGAGAAGAGGAAACAGCCTCAAGTTGTGCCAGGGAAGGTTTAGGTTGGATATTAGAAAAAACACCTTCCCTGAAAGGGTTGTCAAGGGCTGTCCCAGGCTGCCCAGGGCAGTGGTGGAGTCCCCATCCCTGGAGGGACTGAAAAGCCATTTGGATGTGGTGCTGAGGGACATGGGTTAGTGGTGACCTAGTAGTGTTAATGATTGGACTCGATCTCTAAAGGTCTCTTCCAACCAAAATGATTGTATGGTTCTATGAAAAAGGGAACAGGGATTTTGAATTTCACTAACGTTTTCAAAACTCCACAAGGTGCTTTCCAACAATGCAAATACATTTCTGATTTACAAGATATAAATACCCATAAAACAATTTCCTTGTAACCTGTTTACCTGTGATTTGAACTTCACAATCCAGAGCACAATTTGCAAGACTTATAGCAGAAAATGCCCCATGCCACACACAAGGAAGCTGTGTGGCATCCGTGCCTACCTTGACATCCTCAGATCCTGAAGCCTCTCTCAAGTATTCTTTAGCCATCTTTTCAAACCCACATATCCATTCACTGTGGCTCTGTTGGGAAACACATTTGATTAAAGCTGAGAATAACCTCAATAAATCTACCTCCAGGATATTTGCCTCCCAACTGCAAGCTTACAGAGCAGTGTCCCTGATCCCCCAGAGCTAACCCACAGCCTGGCAACACTTGTTCTGCAAGTACCACATGCAGGCAAGCCAAGCTGACAGTCAGCAGGCAGCACTCCAGCAGCACGAGGTTATGGGACACATGCAGTCCACAGAGGCTTGGAAGTGCTGAAGTACAACTGGGTGACAGAGGTCTCCCTGTAACTGTCAGGGCTCTACAAGAAGCATCTGAATACTTGAGAATCTTTTCCAAAATCCCTTGAGCAGCTAAAGCAGATGCTTGCTACATAATTCCAGGGATCTCACTAGGAAGACTGGTTTATAACCTCACAGAAACAGTATTTTCAAAGACTCTTCCTTGTTCATCAGGAGATTAACTTCAGCACATTTGAAAATAGTTTTAGATATGAATATTTAAGGCTTCCAGACATTACAAATGAAGCACAGGCCCCATTTTCCCAGCTTCACTTCACATCATTCACATACTCCAAACCATACAAACCCAGCGCACTTCCCTCGCAAACAACCAAAAGCCACATAGAATGTAAAAGTGAAAATCTGTGGTTTTCAAAGGAACTTGGGGAATAAAACAAACCTTCCTGAACTGTATGAACTGGCACGGGCAACACAGCACCTCTGGGGAAGATATGGATCCCCACTGTGCCAGGCAATGAGTAAACACGCAGCAGTCCCTATCCATCCCTGAAAATCAACTGAGTTAGACACAATGGCAGGTGAATCAGATGTTGGGGCAGTATTAAAATTAAAGGAAAAAAAAACCACAAGATAGCTTTTTTCATTTTAACACTTTTCTTGAAGTAACCTCTCTGCTGCTGGCGAGTACAGGAGTTACCAACAGAAGACACTCAGATCCCACTGTAAAAGCCTCAGGGCAGAGTGGACCATGGGGAAACACTCCAGACTGCCCAGTGCAGCAGGACCAGAGCTCCCCAGCTGTAGGGTAGGAAGAGCCCCCTCCTCTTACCACGTTAGAAGGAAGAGAGACTTTAGGGAACAGCTTCTGGAGTAGTTGGCGTGTCTCCACCTCGGCAGCTTCCAAATGCTGCTGCTTCTCCTAAACCAAAAGAAGGGCTCATGTGAAATTAGGCAACATGTTCCAAAGACTTGGTAATAGCCCCTGCTATGCCTAGAGTAACTTACTTAACCCAGAAAAAGTCATTTTTCAAGTGAAAAAGGTGCTACAGTCTCTAAAATTGCCAGTAAATTGCTTCAAAGATTGACATTGAATTGTTTCAAAATTTGGCCTTCACGTTTGTTCGTGCTTAAGCTTTTCTTAAGTTCTCCTCCAATCCAGCCTGCTTGTGCAGAAATTACACTGTGCTAAGTAACTGTATCCACAGATCACACCAACCCTGCCACTCAAGATGAGCAATCTCAAAACCAAGAAGTTCAGTCAATTAACAACATTTAAAGAATTCATACTTATTTTAAACAAATTTGGGGGAGAGGGGGAAATCACCATAAATTAACAGCACCACATCAAAATCAGAGGATATATCAAAAGGAAACTTTGTGTTAATGCACATTTGAACCAGGCCAAGAAAGCAAGACTATTTTCTAAACATTACTTGTCAGTATTTAAGAGGGAGACCCTTTCACATCCTCCTTCCCCAAGCTTGGATGCAACAGGAAATAATTATTAGAGCTGTGTGACAATCTCCAGGTTTTCTTTGTCATCCCTCTGCAAATATAAATACACGGAGCCAAGGGCACCACAGATGTATTGTTCCATTTATTTAACACTAAAAGCAGCCCAGCCACAGGTCGTTTGCCTGCTGTGCTTGTGGCAGATGGGTTTATTTTAGCCACAGGATTCTCAGGCTCCCATAGAAGTTTAAAAGAAAGCCTGAAACCCTGCACAGAAAGCAGCTTTCAGCAAAACTCCTCCGCTAGTATTTGGGTTTGGTTTTGTCCTTAGAGACCAGTGTTATTGCACTCTGCTGCTCTGAGTTCCTCTGCTGCAAGAGATGGGTGGCATTAGTAGCTCGAGGTTCAGAGACAGAAACGGACAGGAGACATTAGGCTGGGAAGCTGTGCTAAGTGTGTTAGTTTTCAGCAATTTAGGAACCACCAAGAAGTGGCAAATGGCTGTTTGCTGAAGTCTTCTGACTGCAAGAGAAAGCAGGCAAGCATTAGCAGAGAGCAAAAGCAGGTACACAACTTCAGTGAAGGCAGGGCTGGGCAGAGACACCTCCAGAACACAGACACACAATCCCAAACCAGAGCTCCTCTGCTTCTAGCTACCCGACTTCTGCTTCTACAGTTCTTTTGATGCCTTTTTTGAAATTTTCACAGTGACAATTAACATCAATTCAGTCTCACAGAGAAGACCAGCTCCTTTCAGAGCAATTCAGGCCCAGTATCACTTTGAACGTTGGCTCTGAGGAGACCTGTCCAGTCTCATGTGCTTTCAAGGAGGGAATTCACAGCCATGGTGACACTGTTTTCCCAAGAAGCTCACAGGTTTTTAAATAATAATCTAGTTCTAGTTCTTCACAGGTCAAATAAACTTATTCAAGCACAGCAAAAGCCCAGTAGATGAAAGCAGGTTGCTCAGCAGCACAGCTTTTATTCTAGAGCTCCCCACAAAGTAAAAAAAAAAAAAAAAGTTCACAACAGCTCTAACAATTATGCAAACAGAAATCAAAAGTCAGCATGCTCACAAACTAAGGACAAAAAAAGAAACCTAAAGACAACAGGAAGAAGCAGAGGTGAGAGTGTATGAATGATCACTCAGACTATATTTAAACTGCAGTAAAAGTTAAATGCCTCCATTTCATTTAAAAAAACAGCTGCAGATCTGCTTCTAGCTTAACGCATCGTCTCTAGCAGTTGACATTACAACCTTGGCAGTCTTGTTCACTTTGTCCTGCAGCAATTTTTCAGTTGATGCCAATGCTTCCATTGCTTCCCAGTTTTTCTCCCGAAGGTCCTAATCATTTTTAGAAAGAATGATTTCAGTTCAGCCAATATTCAAACTGTTTTTACTTCAGAGATATATTTTGCATTACATTCCACCATTTGCATTTAAATGCTGGTTACTGCACGATGATTTTGCTGGGTAAGAGGACATACACTAGCAAAAACGAGTGTGATCTTCAACGAGTTTGAATTAAAAAGGAGGGGGAAAAAATAAATAAAAATGCCAATTTCTGCCCAACCTGCCCCCAGGGCCAAAACCGATCCAAGTGTTTCTGCAGAACGTATCGCTGCGGTGACCCCACACTTTGACTGCACTTGTGAGAAGAAAGAGGGAAGTTTTCAAAAGTAGTGAGGAACACAGACACCAAACCACAGATTACACAACAGAGTGTTAGGCATGTCGCGTGGCAGAACCCAGCATGGACCCAAGTATACATGGAGGTGTACACATTTGTGCCCCTGATCTTGCAACCAGACGTAGCTGCGTAGATCCTCGAGCCTCAGCCCAGACCTACCACGCCAGAGCTGATTTTAGAAACACAAAGCTCAGGGCCTTGGCTCACAGCATTTACCCACGCAGCTCTCTCCACTGTACCCCAAAACAAAGCTGGTTTACTGCTCACCAGACCCTCTGAGAGGTTTTGGGATCTCACCAGAACCACATGACAACACCATCATGCCGTGCTGAGCTCCTGCATCTTTCTTGGCGAGGTCATCAAACGTGTACTCCACAAGATGTCAACACGTAAGCTCAATGAGGAGCCAGAGAGCTCTTGTAAAAAGAGCCTCACAGCTCTTATCTAGGAAGGATGGCAAGCCTTGCAGGGAGGAGATTACAGTGCTTGGGATTTAGATGTTTTTTTTTTTTTTCTTTCCAACCCTCAGAGCAATCTGCTTCAGCAAAGGGCTATTTTTGAAAGGCTGTTTTTTTGTTTGTTTGTTTGTTTTTTTTTTAATTCACCACACAAAGTGACATCCAAATCCTAGTGTGTACCTACACCAGTTTTACTTCATCACTTCTGTTTGCCTCCTATCCTAAGGGCTGTTTTACAGGACATAAAAACAAGATTGGCTAGAAGTGAGATGTGGAAAGCTGTGACCTTAGAGGCATGGTCTGCCTTTAGCAGCAGCCAGATCTCTGCCTGCACCACAAAGGGTACTTAGACCTTGCAGCTCTCCAGGAAACAGGCACATATGTTCTACCTTTCCAGCTCATCTGCCTTCTGAGAACACCCAGCTACCTTCTCCCTACTTTGTTTCAGCTCTTATGCAACACTGCTTGCTCAAAAGCTCACATTCTCGATATTTAACTTGTGCCATCTTCCTTATATTGTCCCACTTTTAAGCAGTAAAGCTTATTGCATGGTGTTCATTGGACTTCATAGGCTCTCAAGGAGAGACAGGGGAGTTAAAAAACCCTGTGTTTAAACAGCTTGCTTCCATGTAATTTAGAAGACACCATTCTCTTGCCCTGCACAGGGAAAGTATTACAAGGAGGTAACTTCACAGCTCTGTGATGGAAGATACAACCTTTACTTCCACTCACAAACAACCCGTACTGCACCATCAGAGGCTGCTGTAGAGAATGGCTCACTGTCCTTCACCTCCTTCAGCAGATCAGCATCAGTCACTCTCAGGAATGAGAGGAGCCAGATCAGAGAGCCCAGATCCTCCTCCCATGTGCCCACACAAAGATCACAGGGGCATGGTCAGAGCACAGCCTCCCTCATCCTCCCACTCTCCTCAAACCCATTCTTCCCTGGGCAAAGGACATTTTTCTGAACAAGGCTTGAATCCAAGTTCAAGAACTGGCTACAGGATGTGTCCCCTGGCAAGTCTCCTCCCTCTCAGCAAATCAGCAACTCATCAGAGAGCTGATGACACTTGGAGCAGCAAAGGAATGCTCAGTCACTCCCAAGGCAAGAGGAGAGTGTCCAGGGGACAGAATACAGCAGACAACTGTCAGAAACATTCTCAGCAGAATGCCTTGGGCATTGAGGAGTGCTGTGCACATGGGTTTGGTTGTTCTTTGGGGTTTGGGGCTTTTTTGGGGAGGCGGGGGAAGAATTTCCTTACGTTGTTCTTTTTCCTCTGTTGCTCAAAAGCATTTCTCTGAGAGGCGAGCTCATTTTGGAGACTGGCAATTTCCTTCT